TTCAGTTGGATTTGATCAAGCTTCAGAGACAAGCATTCGAAGAGCTATTTATAGAATGGATTATTTGGTGATAAGTAGAGACAGCAGAAATATTTGGTCTGTTTCTGGCTGTCGAGTTTGAACCACATAACATCAAACTCATTTGGTTCCAAAGTTTTTTTCAATGGCATGTGAGATTCGAATAAGAATAGATGCAAAGAACTACCTTGAATCTGAAAAGTGTGTGGAGTTTATATCCAGGACAGAGCATATATATAGGTCGTAGTTATAGAAATTGATTTGGGTTGGCCGGAATCATCAACCAGCCACTGAAACATGGGAAAGTATACTCATTTCATTGTGCCTAGAGTTTATGTGGTGGTATCGTACTGGGCGATGGTGTTAGCCATCTTCCACCTGTTTTTTCAGTAGTCGCCATCTACGACAGGCCAGACTTGTGGGGTTATTCTTATCCGACCACCACACAAATCAGATTGATCAGATTGTCTGTGACTTATTTGGAGGAATGATCAAGAAGTGGTTCAAGCTATAGAGGTTGTTTCGAGTCGAAATTTTAACGAGATACAAATTCTGATTTTCGTAGTGTACAAAAACATACAAGAAACACCAAGGGCTGAAAAGCTTCTCGTATATAAGCTCGATGGCCAGTTAGTGTTTACATACGAACACAATCACCTACACATACATCGACAAAATAGATCATCTATATATTTCATTATGTCCAACCCAAAATAATTGCTCTTGTTGCATTCCAAACTCAATATGAAATGTTATCACACGGCAATACTCAAACAGTTGTTCTTCCATATCTCCGACAGCATTCAATCATAGATCTATTCAATAGATATTCTTGAGAAATCTGATCAAGCATGAAATTATTCGTGTCAATTTTTATTAATTTGCATTCAATTTTGTTAGAGATATTGAATGAATACAATTTCTCTGGTTCATTTTTGATGAACTGTCATTCTCCAAGAAGAAATTGTTCAAATATTGTTTATATAAACTTTATTTCTGTTCCTGTTTGCATGGTGAATCAGCTCACGAGATATTTCGATAGAATTCGAAAATACCCTATATAATTAGTTGATGTACAATAGTCATAAATTGATCTTCAGTATTCTGTTCACCAATAACGAAGAATTCACATTGAAATTCGAACAGTGTGGTGATGGAGTCTGTAACAAATACGATATTTCCGTTCACTACCGAAGATTGCAAAACAGCTGAGACAGGTAGGTTTTGTTCTTTGACGGTGCATTTTTTTACCGATACAGAATCTGTTACTGGGAGTAATTGACAAATCGATTGCGCCTTTTGAACGAGCACCCAATATAAGGATGTTCAACTTTTCATCTGTCATACCTACTTTACTTCAACAGGACATACTCGTCGAAATACAAAAAACAAGGGGTGCAAAAAAAAATATGCTCGAACGTGTTTCATTTGCACTAAGAATACAAACTTTCATAGTCTGTTAATCAATATATCTCGAACACACACATTCCAATTTTCATGCTACTAGATTGAAATACATCTTTGAATGTAGTTAAATCTGTCTTGCTCAGTCCAGTGACATACCGGAAACAAACACTGTTGATATTGTTTGACAGAATAATAGCACGTGCCTACCAAATTCAGATATTTTTTTTTTATAATAATAATTCAAGGCCGCGCTCTCTTTGGTGATCAGACTGCTCATAAACTTTAGTACAATTGAAGGGCTTATTGTGAAACAATGAGATGCCTCAGGAAGATGGAAATTAGATATTTGACTTCGAATGTTTGAAATAATAAATGAAATCCAGTAACAACTTCGATGGTTTTAGTCTTATAAAGGTCGATGCGCCATGCCCTATGCGACTGTAGTTAACAAGAATATTAATAAAATCACTTGAAACTTGAGAAAAAACAGGCTTTATTTAAAATAAACTTGGTTTGTTACATTATCCCATTTAGGATGATTACCCAAAATCTTACACATTGTTGCCCTAAATTTCGTCGATTTTTTCTATTTAATCCCATAGTAGATAGATAGATAGTTTTCTCACGCCATTCATTAACGAAGACCCGTAATAATTCAGTAGTGGTTTGTTATACTATTTCTTCAACCGCGAAGAGCACTAACTCAGTTTGAACTCTTGTGTAACTTGTCCTTGTTTCACAATAAGCCCTTCAATTCTTCTATGTAGAGTGTACCGGGGTACCACTGAAAAAGAACACTGGCTATATCTCTTGAACTATTTGTTGCACAGGTTTCGGAAAGTGGCCAAGAAAAATCTGTGGAAATTATTTTCAAGTTTCCAGGATGGCCGTTAAAGGGCGTTATTTCAGTCGCTAGTTAGAATAACTGGGTTGTATGAGAACATGATGCATCAAGACATGTCGAAAACACTTTCTTTATAATCTCGAGTTCATTTTCAATCATCTAGATCGAAAAAATTGCGCTAGCTCTTCGAATAAAAGAAGGAGGGAAGGATGAATAACGATATGACAGAATTCTTATAACTACAGTTTGGTGTAACGGAATTGAAAAAACTTTTTATCATGAAACAATTTCCTAGTCCTCCCATACAGATCACGAATAGAGTCGATTTGAGTCCGATGGTGGCCGCTAGATGGGACCGTGTGGAAAATCAAACAATTTTTCATTTTTCCTAGAGAATTCCAAATAAAAACATGTATTTTTGCTATGCTGATATGAAAGTGGAGCAATCAAGAAGAAAAATGGTGAAAACTGCAAACTGATACGCGAGATGATTGGTGAGAAATTATTGGCGGAAAAAGAATACCTCGTATTTTCAATGAAACTCTCAATGCCAATGTTTGTCTCAATTTCATGCGTGATCAACTATCTCTGCTGCTAGAAGATGTGGACTTAGAAACGAGAATAAATTTATATTCCCAACTTGATGGATGCTTGACCATTTCGCTATTATAATGTGCGGAATTATTCAGTTTTGAGATATCCTGGAAAGTGAATTGGAAGAGGTAGCATGTTTGAGTGGCTAGATGGGTCTCCAGATCAAACTCATTCGGATTTTCATTCATGGGGAAGATTTGAAGATATGGTTCTTTCAAACATGACAAACAATTAGGGACTATAATTATGATCAATAGGATCAGGACTGCCGGCAGAAGCATACCAATGCCCGAAGTGGAAACTGCAGTTCTATCCACATGACAAAGACCCAATTCATGTAGGTGAATAAAATGATGGAAAATAATTTGAGCCCCTAGGCATACAATAATGCTACTAATGATTTCAGTTCCTAGTTGATTCATATTTTCGAATATTATTTCCAATATTTCTCCGGTTTCTCAAGATGTATCAAAATGCGATTCTTTCCATTTTTCTCCTTGTTTTCTCAATTTCAATATAAGTGTGAGAAAAATATATGGTTCCGATTGAGATTATCGAGAAAAAATGGGATATTTCCTGATTTTCAAAACGATGCCATCTAGCGGCCACCAAGAAGTTTAAATCGACTCGATTCGTGATCTTTCTGAAAGTACTGGGAAACTCCGTTATAATGAGACCAATTTTGTTGAATTTCGTCACACCAGACCATATATAGTTATAAGAGTTTTTCCATAGCACCATTCATCCTCCCCTCTCTCTTTCATTTGAAGAGCTAGCCCGTTTTTTCTCCATCGAGATGATTGGAAATCGACTTGAGATCATGAGTAGGTGTTTTTGACATGTCTTGATATATCAGATTCTCATAAAAACTCATTTTTCAAATTGGCGTATGCAATTACGCCCTACAGCGGCCGTCTTGGGAACTAATTTCCGGAGATTCCTCTTGGCCACTTTTATTACGAATATTTCCTTTCGAAACCTGTGAGATACAGCTGGCGTCCTTCTTCAGTGAGACACCCCGTATAGACAGTCCTAATTTTCATTGTCGCCAACCATAGATCGCAAACACAGCGAGATACAAAAACAATCCAGGATGAAAACAATGGATCATTGATTAATAAACATGAAACAAACCTAACAAATCATAAAAATATCAACTGCGTTTCCTCCTAGGATGTCAATCCATTCAAAAAATATTTTCCATTTCTGGAAACAAACCCACCATGTTTGAAGAATGAAAGTTTTTCATTTATAATCAAGAAAGGGTTCATCTAACACTGCAACATTCTGCCAGCAACCTACCTAGTGAGAAATCTCCTCATTCGTTCTTCACCCAAATGACTCAATTTTCTAATTGATGATACATCATTGAATAATATTGTACACCCTCAAAAAGTATGATTACATTGAACTGAGTTTTTGATCGATAACGAAATAACCTATCTCATTTAAACTTTATCATCACACTGTGTACATTGGCGAACATTGTCAAAGTGGGAAGTTGTTAAGAAACACCCTTCAATCATATCATGTTATTCGAATACACGGAGGTTGAATCCCAATTGAAATCGAAAGTTGTTAAACAATAATCATCAATAAACAAGACACACTAAGTCATCTCCACTCCACTGTGTCTGGTTTATGAATCTATTCACTCCACTTTGAGATACCATGGACTTTTACAATAGATTGGTAATCATCAAGGTGAACATAAAATATATGAAATAGAAACATCACAATCTTATCAGGCTCCTATCAAACAACAAAGATTTTGAGACCTATTTCGGACACAGTAGGTAGCAAACCTTATCATTATGTGAATTTCTTCAATTATCAGGGTTCCTTAAAATCAGACATACGGCTATTGAAAACAATTGAGAATGTTTCAGTTTAGAAAAATGAAATAGGCGTAATTATGGAGTATAACGTTGGCCGTTACTTTCAATACCGTACAACTCCCGAATATGAATATAGTTAAAAAAATCGTCGCCAATTTCATAGCATTTCTAGATAGATCAGAAACGCTTTGGAATACATCAGGAAATCTAGTTTGCTTTGCGTTTTCTGATGCATTCTCCAGGTAATTGTCATTTTCCATAAAAAGCATTATGAAAAATCACTGTTAATGAGGTTATAACTATAATATCAATAATCGGTTTAGTCAATTCACCAAAAAGCACGGTTAATAATGATCTGAAGTATTTTCGATGACTATAGGTATCAGGCATCAGAGGTCAGTTCTCACAACTTTGGTGTCGCCTAATTTGAATACTGAACATTTATGAACACGCACACTCAACTATATCCATATTGTCCCACACTTCTTTCCTTAACTTAGAATGATTGTCTTTGTCAACCAAAATTATGTCTAAATGTTTAAGTTTCGAGGGGGCACAACAAGTCCGAGGTATGATTTTTTTCGATGTCGTGGATCCATTCCTTTTCTCCATCTGATGCATCAGGCTCTGTATCCTAGAATGGTTGGTAGCAAAGTTATAATTTGGAGGGCACAAGCCGTGGCAATATCCGACGTTGTGGAGTTTAGGTGCTACGATGCCCGCCATTTCCGGGAAGCCTAGCTTGCTAAAGTCCACCTTCATGTTTTGTCGGCAGCATTTCTTCTTTTTCCTGCCCTTTTGACAATCGGTTCTTCTTTCGGTTTCATATGGGGAAGCTCGTCTCATCCTCCTTGCGCCAGGGTGTACTAGCGTCGTCACTGCGACGTCAATGGGGTCCAAATCACACTTGAAGTCTAAGCACAATAGCTCTAAGCCTAGGTTCACTTCACCGCGGATCCACGATTGCACTGCACTGGAAACGTCTATTTCGCACCATTTTGTTGAGTTCCTCGATAGATACAGAGTCTTTTCTTCCATGAGTCGTCTTTGCCTCTCGCCGAGTATCAGATTCACTTGAACTCTCACTATGGTGTCATCGTTGAGTTGAGGAGGGACTAGGAACCTCAGTTGTGCCTCTTCTACTTTGGCTCTACGATCCAAAGGCACTGAAAACCTCAGTCTTACTGAGGAACTTCTCCATACCACTTTCTGATCTGAAACCAAGAACGAACATTAGATACTTCGTCTGCGAATGATTTATTATAGTCTCTTAGTTATCTGGGTTTTCCTATAACAATCCGAATGTTGACAGTGTTCCTGTTTTTAAAATGAAATCATACCCAAAAATCAAAATGCTGGATGCTCAATTATACCTATTATGATTATTATCCTATATACAGGGTGTTTCTGTGAGTGGAGAGATACATGAAATGGGAAGCTGTATGATACCTAAGGAATACACGACCCAGTAAAAACAAACACATTCAAATCTTGGTAGATAACAATGCGGATCATAAGAAATCATCATTGGTATTGCCAGGGGACTCTTCATTTTACAAAACATTCGCAATATTCGTCATATTTCATTGGATTTCAGACTTGAAATGTAGGTGAATCTGTGAGGCTCCCGAACAACCAAGCAACTCAATGGAACCTCACATTCTTGTCTATTTATGTCACACACGGAATCAATCAATTTTGATGTTGAATTAGGAGTCGCTTGATACGTTCTGTGAGTTCCATTTGGCATCATAATGTGAATCATAAAATGACCATAAGGGTCCGGAATAGCAGTCATTGTGATTTCAGTGGGACTCTCATTTTGAGTAATATGGATGTGATGTGTGGCATGAATGTGATACCCTGCTATATCTCTGGGATCAATGTGTGTTAACTGGGGATGAATTACCATAAAAAAATGTGCCAAAAAATATGCGCTCCCACCATAGTACATTTCTTTGATTATTATTGAACGTCTGGCATAATCATATGAGATTGTCTTCACATAATATCATAATCACCCAAAGTACTATGTGTACTTTTCCCAAATTTAGGTATTTCCAGTAGGTACCTATAACTATTGGGGTTTCAAATATTGTCAACATTCCATTTGCTATGAAAAAAGTAAACGTATAGGTCTGTGTTCGAATTAACAATGCATTTTCACACGGCAATTGGATTAAACGGAATGACATTGGTTGCTCGTGCACTCTAATATATTGAGAATTTATGAACAACCGTTTGTTGAATGTATTCAATCAGATAACTAATCTTCGGTTAAGAGCTTATCTTTTCAGACATCATTTTGCAGAGATTACGCACGCTGACGAATCTGTGGAGAATCTTCAGTGCCTACTTGCACGTATTAACCATGCTTTGAAATGATTGAAGGTTTCATCGGATTATTGATAATTTTCATTTTGCTCCTCTACGGAAATATTAGCACCCATACTCATAATGTTGCAGAAATTGATACAAAGATGTCTGGTGACTCACTTGTTATAACAAGATCCTAATTACATTGTCATTACCTATCACATCTGTCATACTTATCACAAATTTTTCGTATGTAGTCACCAAAAATATGAATAACCCGAACAACTGAAAACCGAATTTGGTATTGTAATATATGAAAAAAGTAGAATAATATGGGATGAACTAGAAGTGGAGAAAATTTCAATAAAAAACTTTCATTCGAACGCTCTCAAAAGGATAATATGAAATATTCCTTTATGATTCCAAATATCAACTTATAACCTCATTATACATATTTTATATGTTCATGAATGCTTGACGCGCGATTCACTTATGTGAATAATGAACTAGTATCAATTCAATTTTGGAAAAACTGCTGTCTAAATTTTTGAAATCACAATTTAATTGGATATTGATCATCGCGACAATAAGCTTCTATGATTATATAAATTGTGTATAATGAGATTGATAGCTGAAATTTTAAAGGAATATTTCATTTTATTCTTCCAATGAATGAAATGAATGAAAGCTTTTTATTGAAATTTTTTTATCACTTTTCATTTATTTTTCAAATTTTAGTTATTGCTCGCTAGGTTTTTCAGTCTGTTCATTTTATTCAACGCATCATTGTTGCAAGGTCGTTTGCCGGTTGATTTCGAACAGTCCAGCTCTTCAATAAGGAGACCTGCTGATGATTTTACCCTAGTTGCATCAGCCATGTTTGCTTAACCTGCAGCGGAGAGATTCGAGCCTAAGTGAATAACGGCGTAGTCGACAGTACTACTTTGCATTTTGGGTACTGTACAAGCCCAACATAATACAATTGGCAGCATTCTTCGTCGTTCCGCGGTTCCGTGACTATATTTTGCTGGAAAGACTTAGCGTGTCATATTGGGTTTTGAGTGATGTTGCATCATTTCTAATTATTCTTGGCAAGCCCTTTTGTTTGATACCCAAGATGAAGTTGTTAGGGTTGGAGGACGACTTCAAAACACTATTCTGATATATGATAGGAAACATCCAATTATTTCACTTTGGTCTAGCCGCCTCACCAAGTTGATAATAACCGATTCTCAAGGGGGGAATGTTCAAGAATGTCCCTCGCCATTGTTTTCTCCAGATTTAGTTTCAAATTTGGCTCAGAATTAATTATCTAATACTTATAAATATCTACCAAGTGGTGTACTCAGAATCAGTTATAAATAAATTGATTTCTAACATTCGAATTCTTACCGCCTGTTTCCGCGTTTTGATAGTTACTGCTGATCCTGAGAACAGCGCTTCTAGCGATGAAACAGAAAGGATACGGTATTCGAGAGTCCGACAGCAGTTTATTTAAAGTCTCGCGATTTTCGGTGCACCGCGAGTAAGTCTACTTATTATTTGTGTCAACCTTGCCCAACGACAGATTACGTACCACAGAACAACAGCAGTGTTTTCAAGATGAGTTCTTCGACAAAAAAAGTAAGAAGAACTCACACAAAATTTGACCGCAATCGAATCAGCCCTTTTTTCCAAGTTGATACAAAACAAAATACAGTCCACATAAAATTATAAACAGAAACAAAAATATCCTGAGCTTGGAACATCTCGATTTTGAACACCATATATCTCTGGTATCATTCCCTCTAGGTCCCAAGTGTGATATATTGATGAAATAAGCTTTTCAGGGAGATTCTGAAAATTCAATCAAATATAGTATGTTTCGAAAAGAAACATTCTCAGATATATTTATGAACACAAAAGAATGGATATATATATATAAAGAAGAATTCGCATTCTCCATGTGATGAAAATATCAATACCTTCACGGTTCATTCAACAGAAAACAACTACTTTCCTGGCTATATGCTACGACGGATATTGAATTACATCTATTGAACATACACAATGAGAATTTGAAAACAAAATCTTCTGAAGTAGAGAATTTGCATTCTCCTTCATATAGAGATATGCATATAATGTAATTATGAATATTCAACAGAAAACAACTACTTTCCTGGCTATTTGCCACGTCGAACATTGAATTATATCTGTTGAATATCCAAAAAGAGAGCATGAAAGATCAAAATCCTCTGAAATTGAGAATTAACATCATCTCTCAAATCAAGGGGTTCAAACGTGAACGATGGAAATTTGTTATTTTCATAGACCTCAATCGTAGATTCGTGATAAGGTTTCTATCAATTCAGAATTTCTTGCCACGTCGTGTATGATGAATGTCAATTTATCATACATTTGAAAAACAGTATGTTTCATTTGAAAAATTCAACTAGTACCCTATGGATCGTTCGTTCCGAGCACTATGTTTTCTGAAATAGCGAAAAATAAATTTTAAGATCAATTCAAAAATAACTGAGCTACAGGGGGAGAAGATTTACGGTGAATCACCCTGAACATATACTGCTTCGACCTCTAATCTTCACAATATTCTTCTTTACAGAAAAAGAATACAGAATCATATCTGCAACCATTCAAGGAAGATCAAGGACCAACGAGTTTTTGTTGATGAATCATGTATTGATAATGTATTACATGATAATTATATGAAGCTGTTATATCTACCATCGCACAATTTTATTAATAAATATTTGGTTGCTACAGATTCGTCATTATTCAATCTGACAATATCAGAAACAGGAATGTTGTATGAAAAAGTTTGCTCAGTTGATATGATCTTGTTTTATATTGAACATTTCTGTATGAGAGAGTATAGGGATTTTAGAATATCCATAGTATATCCATAAGATATCTGGATGTTATATCCATTGGATGTCTATCATATATCTGAAGGATATCCATCGCATTCATCTTTGAATATCCATGGGATATCTCAGTATATCTTGGATATAGGCGGACATTTGGATATCCATGGGATGTCTAATGGATATCCATATATATCCAATGGATTTACTGGATATCTATGTAATATATCCTATGGATATCAAATGGATATTGTCTGCTGTTTGGGTCAGAGGTGTCATGTCGCAGATATGTCTGCTTTTGTACATCGCAGTGATGAAACATTCGTTATACCGCAGTGTTGCCTCATCGCGACATAACAGAGATGGCATGTCGCAGATGTGTTTGCTTCGGTACATCGCAGCGATGGAGCATTTGTGATATCGCAGTGTTGCTACATCGCGACATCTCAGACGTGGATATGTAGAATACCTCCAACAAATCATGATAATATATCATCTACGTTGTTTTGGAATGCCTCTCGAAATCAGACGTATGGAACTTGTGAAGGACTATATTCTATTTTCGATATTTGATATAGCTCGCCTTTCAGAAACTTTTTACTGGATCCTCGACTGATGCAGACAAAGTTTAACTCGTATCAGGAAATGGAACATTTTTTAAAATTATATTATAATATATTCAGTTTCTGAAGCACTGAGTATTCCCGATAGTTGAGCAGTGTTTCAGATGATGAGTTAAATACTATTGACGTTAACTTCAGCCTAGAAGAATGTTTTAATGAAATTTGCACATCATGAGCTTGGAACTGCATTTTTGCTAAAATTTTTTTTCCCAACGAAATCACACCATGCCTTCCTTACAGTAAGTATTATAAAGAAACCTGAAAAATCCGCCAGCTTGACAAAAATGTTCCATAATGCTCAGTAATCGCATTTTCTTCTATTGAAATTAGAATTCATGGAATTTTATATTGAATTCAATTTTTGTCTAATATACTTCATCCACACCCCTTTCACGACCACGACACTAATTA